AGAAGAAGAAGAAGAAGAAGAAGAAGAAGAAGAAGAAGAAGAAGAAGAAGAAGAAGAGTGGGAGAAATCACTGTCAAGGCTTCATTTGGGATAAAACCCACAACTTTTAGCCACAATGATATACATAACACCATGAGCCCACATATTCTTTAGACTTCATTCCTTTAATACTATTAAATGGAGGCTATTTTTAATGTTTCTAGATGACATGTAGTGCAGAGGCCCATATGAAACAATACAGAAAAATTGCATTCCCAAAGATGGAGGTGCTAGGAGGAAGGGACTGAGGAACAGTCTTAAGTATTTTGGGTTTTTTTTTGTTTGTTTATTTACTTGTTGGTTTTTTTTTTTGTTTTGTTTTGTTTTTTGCAGAACTAGGTATTGAACTCAGGCCCTTGTGCTTGCCAGACAAGCACTTATTCTACTAAGCCATCTCCCCGGCCCCAAGTATTCTGTATATGTAGGAAAGAGACAGGAAGGACACTCATTGCTGTACTCTCCACTCCTGTTGCACAAAAAGAAGCTAAGAGATTTGTATACTCTCAGAAAGTGCTCAGACCTTGCTTTCACCACTTTCTTCCAAGTTACTATGGACAGGATAGGACTGAGGAGTGTGGGGTTGGTATTTGGAACTGCCACAGGACATTTGGACAACATAAACTCATAGGACAAAATAATAAAAACACCTAAGCCTGAATAAAAGAGCATAATCACACAACTTGGGTGGGAGAAAGCCATATGTATTTTCCCTTTGGTCTTCAATGTGCTGTCAGAAAGGGATTTGCCAAGATCCACCTGTGACAAATTTTAGGCATTTTAAAGCCAAATCTGATAACTGGAACATAATTTTTCATTATTACTTGGAGGGTTTTTTGTACCTGTTTACCAAGTTTTAGGCCAAACCAGAGGGCTTCAATAATACACAAATCTCATATAATGCTGATGAAGCATAAGTTGGATCAACAAATGGGCACTGTGACAAATGTCTCACAAGTCTTTAATACATACATAGCCTTTAACCAAGTATTTCCTATTCTATAAATCTAGTCTAAGGAAATAGTCAAGAATGTAAATAAAGCCAGGTATGGTAGCACATGCATGTAATCCCAGCACTCGGGAGGCTGAGGCACAGGAAGATTGTTGCAAGCTCGAGAACAGCCTGGACTATATAGTAAGTTCAAGGCTAACCTAGAATATACAAAAAGACTCTGCCTCAAAAAAGTGAAAGGACTGGGGATATAGCTCAGTGGCATAAGTGCCTGCCTGGCAAGTGCAAGGTCCTGAATTTGATCTCCAGTATGGAAAAAAAAATGTAAATAAAGATTAAGATGCAGGTATAGTCAGGCCAGAATTATTTAGAATAGGGAAATGTTAGAATTAGAATTTCCAGAAAATAAGGAAATGGATTTCCAATTAGAATATATATCGCAGTGACTAATCTTGACTCTCAATTTGATTGGCTTATGTGATACACAGGAGATGAATAAAGTAGATTTCTGGGAGTATATGGGTGAGTCAAGGTGGTATGGCCTTGAGACTATATCTGAACTATATCTGATCCGTGGCCCCTTCCTTTCTGGTTCCTTCCCTGGCTTCCTGCCTCCTGGCTCCCATGAGATAAAGTAGCTTTCTTCCAGCAGGCTTTTCCACCACGGTGTTTCTACCCGAGAGCCAACCAACCATGAAAGAAAAACCACTGAAATCATAAGCCAAAGTATCTTTTTTTTTTTTTTTT